TTTGAACTGTTATCATCGTGAATCATGTAAAAACTCTTCCTTCAAGACTTCTTTTACCTTTCAAAAATTGCTAATCACCTCTTTTGAAAGCCATCATGCAGTTTTCATCTGAAATCCATACCAACACATCGTGCTACGACATCGCTTTACTTCCGCAATGTAATTTTTATGATCACGATCATTCGGAAAACTTCGGGTTCTACCATTACCATGCGGCATTCTGATTGGTTAATGGCGTTTTTGACCCACCGGGTCAAAGGACACATGCGGTCAACTAACGCGTCACAGCTATCATGGCGGGTCTGTGTTTTTCACCGAAGTGATCTGATCGAGTGATCAAAAATAATTTCTCTCGATAAAACTAGTTCAAATTTTACGTTTTTTTCATATAAAAAAAGAAGTATTTAATTTTGCATGGCATCATGACTAAGTAAGAGAAATTATTGGTATAACCGGTGTATAACATCGCGAAGTAAGTTATGTCACGTCGTAACTTTGATGATTGTTTGGAAGTGTTATTTGTTCGTTCATTTACTGTAAATGTAAACGTTATAGAAGCTGATGGTCGGAATAATAACCAGCAATCCGCCAAATAATTACGTGGTCTATTTTTTGAAAGAGAATTTTGTAGTAAATAAGATCATGAAAGTCTTGAACATAATCCTGGCTGGAACGTTTCAGATGAGTTTCATTTAACCTTTTACAATTTATTTGTTTCTTTTTAGTCTGCAGCATTTGCATTTCGAGAATGTTTCATTTTTAAATTCAAACTCTTGTAAGTTGTGAAACGCAATTTTTTTTGACTACAAAAAAAAATATTTGCACTGTGACGGAGCTCATTAATATTACAAAAGTGCCCAAAATAAGTGTTTATAACACTGTGTTAAGCAAATAAATATCTGCCACTTTGTTTTTGAAAATATGTTTATTGTGTGGGTGTAAATGTGTTTTGGTTTATTTCTATTATAATGTAAATGATATGCAAATTAGGCCGCCACAGGGGTTTAAATTCCTGGGGAGAACACTGCGGTCATTCAGTCAGCTGATTGCCTTGCTACTGTAACTATTCAATTTTAAATGCATTTTTTGGAACATTTTGATCTTTTAGGCTTTAAATATTTACTATTCACTTTGAAATCAACCATAAAACAGGACAAACAAAGGTCATAGAAATGTGGTATCAAAACATTGTGTTGGATTCAACAAATGCAAAAGTATTTAAGGAGGATATCAATGCCTAATATTGTGATATACGCATTTGATAATCAATTTCGATAGAGTAATGATATTTTAACACTATTTCTCCCTTTTTAGAAAGATTGCCATTTTGACATTTAATTATAAAAATGGAAATTCAAGCTCAAAATCCAATCATTCAATCAATTCTGGCGCAGATGTTTGGTCCACGCCTTTCATACTTTACGCGAGATCTCTCAGTGAGCGAATATGTTCAGCAGGCGTAATCTGGCTTTCTGAATGGTTCATAACCAACTTGACTTGTCATGTCTGTGACCCTTTTCAATTGGTCGTGAAGCCGATTTTAAAATCAAATCGAGGGCTTTACCTCTTGTCCAGATATTTAAATTACAGTCAAACCTGTGTTAACGACCACCTGTGCATAGCGACCAGCGACCACCCTATTGTAGACCTATTCACCTATAGACCTATTAACCTTTGTATAACGACCACCAACATTTCCGTCGGACGGTATCAGCAAAAAGACAATACCTACTTGCGAATCGCTAACAGGAATGTGGCCATGTGTTACGTTCAGATTACCGAGTACGCAATCTTTAGGGCTAAGAGGCAGGGGTGACCATCGCAACTTGGTTTGTAAAGTTGCGAAAAAGTAAAAACAAAAAGTTGAATATCATCTGAATGTAAAATCTGGAGACTGCAAAATTTTAACAACAAATTAAAACAGTTTCATTTAAAGTTTGAAATGACAAACTAGCTTGTTTCCAATCGGTACTATACTATCGATCCCCAGCCGGCCAGTCACACTTCTGTGGACTGTCTCGCACATGAAGAGCAAATTCCTCCCGTCTCGAAAACAAAATAAACAAATGAACCAGTTTTATTAAATGAGAGATGTTTTATTTACCTTGTCGACATGAAATATCCAAACAAAATTATAAAACATTCGTTTATTTCGTTTTCATAGCGGAATTGCAAAATCCAACCTATTTTGGCCGCCATGTTGTTTGTTGTTGATCGTTATAAATTATGCTAATGAAGCTAGCGCATGGGCAAA